GACGAGCCTGGACACACAGCCATGTACTCACACATGTTAAATGTACAAGGAAGGACACTGTATGATATCATGTTGTACAGGTACAGTACACTTCATTATGCCGTCTCAACGCTCGCATGTACAGCTTTTCAGAAAACGCGAGGGTGTGGCTACTTATCTTGTAAGCAGCTGCTGGCAGCACAGTCTGGCTAAAACAGTAAAGTACAACCAGTCTCTAAAGTTTAAGCTTTCTTATCCACGTCGCTTTAAACTGAGATACATTAATAACACAGTCCAACAGTGAGGTCATTCAAATGGAAAAAAATAACTGACATTGCCAGCTAATTTGTTGAACTCTCAACATATGGACCTGTTTTACATAAGATATATAAAAATGGATAAACATTTTTCTAGTTTTGTCTTAATTGTTTTCTAGAACAGTAGATACATACCTTAAAATGTTTAAGTAATGACGTCCGTGTGCCGGGCAGCTACATATCCCTAACTTATGTCCTGATTTGAACCTGTGAACTTTACCCTTCCCCTGTTATGTTTCAATAGCCAAATAAAGGAAGTGAGATCCTGTCAAAATGCCATTTCATTGAGGCTTTGAAACAGTTTTTTGTTTTTGCATTACATTGCTGGAGCAGCTATTTGTGAATAAACTTACCTAATGCAAAGTTAGGGCACCCCCTGACAAATAACAATATTTTGGCCTCAGATGTGCAGCCTCTCTACGACATGGGACATAAAATACAATATTTTCAGCAAACATGAATCCACAGTTACATTTTTGTCATAAATAAAGAACCCTCAGGAGAGTAAGGAGATGTCAGACAAGGATGTTTTTTAATTTTTGTTCACAGGCCAACTTTATCATTTGAAGACTTTGCTGACATAATGTATCTCCCATCATAGCTCCACCCAAGGTCCCATTTAATCAGCCAACACGCGTGGGTGCAGAAAATCAAAAAATCATTAACTGAAAACGGCCAGGCATATTAAAAAAGTGTGTATAATAAGTGTTCAGAGTGTTCATCATAAAACTATGTTGTTGCGTCATCCAAAAATAACTCCTGCAATTAACTGATTGGATAGTTTCGTTGGTGGATTTTCTTTTTTTTTATGAGGCACTTCTAAACTTGCCGTCTTTCCTTTCAGTCTGAAAGAAGCCGATGAAAGACCTGGCGTTTTCCTTGAGTTTGACTGCAAGGTTAAGGACTCAATCTTGAGACATTTGAAGATGTACAAGATCCGCAGAAAGATCAACATAAACCCCTGTCCGGAGCTCTCTGTATGGGCAGTGCTGCCCAAGGTAAAGAACACCGGTCAAGAGGCCAGTAAACCAGAGCTTTCCTCCCCAGACAAAGCTCTGGTATGGGAGACTGATCCTCGAACTCAGGAAATGGGCTGGAGATTGGTGTTGGACCGTCAAGTTGACCCTGTGGATATCATTGCATCATGCCAGACAGGTGACACAGAGGAGTATCACAGACATCGCTATGCAATAGGTAAGACCAGCTAGTGTGTTGGAATACATGCAGTTTGTATTAAAAGAGAAATGGGACAAGAAGTGAAGATTTGTACGCACATGTGCTCTTGACATTGTTTGACAAGTTTTGTATCCTCTGCTGTCACTGTTGTCTAGGACTTCCCGAGGGGGTGAAGGACCTTCCCCCCGGGGTGGCGCTACCACTAGAGTCAAATCTTGTCTACATGCAGGGTATCAGCTTTAGCAAGGGCTGTTACATTGGTCAGGAGCTCACAGCCAGGACCCATCACACTGGGGTGGTTCGGAAACGCCTGATGCCAGTACGCTTGTCAGCTCCAGTCCAAGACCTCGAGGAAGGATCTGCGCTGCAAACTCAGTCAGGAAAGCCAGCTGGGAAGCACCGAGCAGGGGTTGGAGAGCTGGGTCTAAGCCTTATCCGCATGGCTCATGCCAAAGAGGTTTTGACGCTCAAATCTTCTGACGATGCTGCAGTGACACTTGAGGCCTCTGTGCCAGACTGGTGGCCTAAAGACGTGTAAATCAACTGAAGAGGAGGATGTTTTATAGTTCCCTCAAATGTGACATACATCACATCTGACACTTACACAAAACCCCGAAGTACAGTATGTTACACTGTCATTGCTTTACAGGTGTGTGGCACTAATCCATATTTGTGAGTATTTTTGTTTGCAATAAAGCCTACTTTTAGAGTGATTGTTCCCAAATTGTAAAGTATTATTTACCACAGAATGATGTTATTTAGCAGATCTGCTGCAGCATTATACAACACGATATACCAACTGTGATATGGTATTGGTTTGTTTTTGAATAAAGATGCAAAATAGCAAAACAAGACCTCAATCTACTTGTGTATTTCCTTTTTTTTTTTTTTATTATTCATCCACTTGATCGTTCAGTGCAAAAACAAATTCCAAACATTCACAAGCAACATTTGAGATTGCAGTTCAACTCAGACCAAAGGCGTAACAACACCTTTATCATCATCTTTTTTTCTAACGGTACAAATTGGCACTTTTCATTCAAGCCATTTCCAGGTGATTATTAACAATGTTGGGACACCACTGAACATCTTATTCCTGATAAAGGAGATGCTGCCCTCTTGTGGATTGTATGGTGTCCCGAATTTGCTGTAACATGGTTTCTGGCTGCAAAGTCAAAGCTGAATGATCGAGTCGCTTAAAGTCTTCATTGCAGAGTAGGCACTCAATTATGTGAGCCACTCTTTGTAGGTCAAAGGCAGCATGGTAAGGTCCAAGTGTGGTGAGGGTCTCTGAGAGATGTCGTGGGTATTCGGAGGAATCCCCAGAGGAACAAGCATTCAGGAAAGCCATTCGGTTGTCAGCAAGGATTTTCAGGAACGAGGCAAACTCCCCATAGTTGATACCAGAGCAGGCCTTCATGATGACCTGACAAGTAAAAAAAACAATGACTTCACATTTGATACTGGAGACATTAATGGTACCAGCATATTTCTTGAAAGCACGCAGGCTGAACAGTATTATGCCGGACTTACCTGGCAGTGCTGATGCCACGAGTCCATAGTGTTTCTCCACTCATTTATCTCTTTTTGAACGGATGATAGCTCATTCTGGAGGAACTGCCACATGATGTCTATGTTGCAGCCATTCAACCAGTTATGATTAATAGAAATGGTGTCCTCCTGTTTTAAAGAGGGAATTCCTATGTCAGAGATATATAGTATGTTATTTGGTACATGTTTTTACTCAAACCTTTACAGTTCTTACCAGATTATAAACTTGATGGTGCCAGCCACTGGGCACGAAAATAATTTCACCTGCCTCTTGAATAATTTCAAGAGGTTGACAGACTTCTTCAGAGTGTGGGAAAAGGCCCGTGTCTCGAAGTTCAGCTGACGTCACATCGTAAGGGAGGTTGCCGTGAGTGTCTCGTAAAAACTCCTCCTGACCCGGAGGATACAGGAGCCACTTCTTCCTGCCACAGATGTTTGCAGACCAGCTGTAGGAGCGGAACACGTCAGCGTGGAACGGGGTCCTGGTGACGAGAAAATGCATCAGATGGTCTTAAAAATCAAAAACTAGTTTGCACTATAATAATAATAAACATATTGATATGATTTGGAAAATTAAAAAACGAAGCTATTATAGTGTTTTGCCAACATTATGCTACAGTTTTCCTACCATGAGCCTTTGGGTCCCATGTAGACAAACCGGTAGTCATCCACTTCAAGAGTATCCCAGTATTCATTAAGCCAGTCAGAAGAAAAGAAGACCGGTGTGGTGTAAACATTGTGTTCTGGAAAGTCCCTGTAGAACAATAATATACAATTAATCATGGGTGGTTCCACAAATTGTGCTGTGGGACAAAAAGTGCTTCTGAATTAGCATTAATTGATACCTTGACATGTGCCAGTCTTTGAGATAGAGACATCCTTTGGGCGACGAGTGGCCGTTTTGAATGTATTCCTTCCAGTAGTGTATAAATTCTTTGAAAGGCATCACCTGTTTAGGGTTAGCATTGTACTCCTTTGCATTGCAGTTTGCAACAGGAACAGGAGTCTCCTCTGTGGTAAACAACAAATAAATTATCTTTCAGTACATGACAGCAGCCATTGCAACAGCTGCATAATGATGTATGGTAGTTAGTTAACACATTAGTAATAAGTAGGGGTGTAGTGGGGGGGTAAACCCAAGTAAACTCACTCTCTTTTCAGATCCACTCTATCAAACTAGTTTACCCACCTCTGTATTTACCACTACGACCACCTAGTAACAGTATTTACCAAACTCTTGCAGCAGTTTCTGGAAATTAGGCTTCCCCTCCTCAGACACCCACTGCTTTCTACACTTCCAGTCCTCTGTAAACCTTCTTGAAAACATACATGGGTGATTGGGAAGCAAGTATTTCTTGAAAAATTTAGAATAGCTCAGCTCCTTGTCGATGTAATCTAGAAAATGCGAAGACCAAAACTGTTCATAGGACTGTCTTGGTATTTTGACCAGGCTGCAGCAGTTACGGTACGCCTCCCTGTCCATGATGGTAAACAAGACCTCGGCTAGCCAGTTAGCGAGCTTAGCTGTCACCGCTTGGACAGCAAGAAAACGGTAAGGAAAAGCTAGCAGGTCGATTGATTTGACATTATATAGCGCACATCTTTTCACTTTCGCTTTTAAACTTAGGCTAGATTAGGCTAGACGACTAGCATTATGCTAAAACGTATTTTTTTCTGTTTTTCTTGACAACAAGTCGCTGCATATGACTCCATCCCAAAGATTGCAGGTTATGGCTCCGGAACGACACACATACACAACCATGGCTCTTCATTCACTGTCACCACTCACTATATTAACATTTACATTTATTTAATGCTAATACTACACGCTATCGCAGCTAATTCAGAAACCGGCGTACCTAGCTAACAATAATTATTTATCCAAAACCTTATCGTGATAGCCTTTTTTATTTTATTTTTTTTTGACAGCACAATTTTCAAGTCGGACAGTAAATACAGCCGTGCTTGAGCGTGACGTCACTTCCGTGATAAACATCACCGATTCGGAGAACAGTATGGGGTAACGTAATGCTCAGCACAACAAGGTAGTGTTTTCAATTAATGCGGCGTGGGGCGACTAACGTTATATTTTCTTTTTTTTTTTTTACCACGAGGAAGTGACACACGCTGAGAGGGCTTATAACGTTATAGTGACGCACTGGTAATGCGGTCAGTCGGGTAGAAAGGTCGCTCCTCCACAGCTGAAGCTACCAGTGTGAACGCCTCAGCTGATCTCATCTGCTGCTTGGATCCCTCATTACATTCTGCAGAGAGTGGACTCACTATCAGGACACAGAGGTCACTCTCTACAGCGTCCTTGTGATTATGAACTGTAGATTAACACGACAGCAGTGTGAATGTGCATGATACATGTGTGATATTGAAGCCTTGTGTGTCTTTCTAGGTGAATTAGTGTAGCTCCTTCCAAAATGAGCCGGGACGTCCCAATCCACAGCTGGCCCGGCTCCTATTACATCAACAGTGAGAAGAGGTGGGAGAGCGGCACCCTGTCTCTCACTAGGACCATGGTGCGCTTTGTCTCTAACCAGAGTAAGGAGAGTCTTGCCAGCTTCCGTCTCTCCAGGATCATGGAGATCAAGATGGAGTCATCCAGTTTCATCTTCAGCACTCTCACAGTGCTTGAAGAGGGCAATGTGAAACACTGGTTTGGCTCCCTTAAGCCCAACAGGGTGGTGGCTTATAATGTGTTAGAGCATTTCTGGAGAGAACGCCTTCTGTCCCCTGGGTCAGAGCCCCGTGGGGCTGAATGTCAACCCTCTAAAGGCAGAGAGCTGATCAGCCTGGTGGCTGGGGCCCAGAGGAGACTGGAGGACACTGGCATAGTCATCAGCCACCAAGGAGAGCAGTTTGACAATATGATGCAAGGACTGGAGAAGATTGACTCAGACCTGGGCGTGGCTGATAAGTAATTATCTAAATATTACCTGACTCAATGATATTATGCTTTTTTATTTCTTTGCCAGTCTTGTTCATGCTTTATTCTTATACTGTTGACAGCTATAACTAAGTAGTTGCAATACACAACCAGGTGAAACAAGTCGTGCACACTGAATTCTTACATCCCTATTGTGCTGTGTTGCAGACTTTTGTCAGAGCTGGAGTCTCCCGCCTGGTGGCCTTTTGGTAAACTCCCATGGAAAGCTCAGCAGGAAGCCAAGGTTGAGGGTGCTGCAAGAGCTGCAGCTGCTGCTGCCGCTGGCAGAGGGTCCGGTAGGAATAAGGTGATCACAAGCATCCCAGCTGTAGTGACCAGAGGCGGGGACTCGGACTTAAAACCCGGATGCTTGTTGGTGCTGGTGTCCTCACTGGAGGTGCGAGACACAAACTGCCAACTACTTCACCGCTTCGAACGAAATGAAATCGACGAAATCAGGGTGCACAGTCCTTATGAGATCACTGTTAAACAGCGGTTTATTGGGAAGCCAGATATATGCTACAGGTTCCTGTCTGCCAAGATGCCAGAGGCAATGTGTGTGTTAGAGATGCAGTACAAGAAGAAGGTGGAGTTCACTAGTGAATATGCTGCTTTCAGGGCAACTCCAGTTTCATCTCCATGTGACACAGAGGGGCCAAACTGGAATGAAGGTAAGTCATGGATAATATAAATAAAGTTTTTTTTTTTTTCTGTTTCCATGCCTAGTATAAAATTGACCACTAAGTGGCAGTAAAGGTCTATGTTTCCACCTCTGTATATTTATAGGTGTGTAACCACATGTAAAAACATTTCATCCACATGACTGTTGGACATGGTTATTAGTGTGTCTCCTTGCCAGAGATGTGTTTTGATGAGTCACTTCATCCTGATTGCCTCAGTTGTCGTACTTTGAGTTTACTGTCTGGTTTCCTCATAAACAACACATGCACTCTGCACTTTTTCACCATCTCCACCCATGGAGTCAGGTTTGCTACAGAAGTGCCAAGACACAGAGCTCCCACTGGAGGTCCCAGCAGGAGATCTGTCCCAGTTGCAGGTGCATGTCCTCCAGCCATCTGTCAGTCAGGCTGAGGCCCAGGAACTCAAACAGGTGAGACCTGTGTTTGAATATATGACTTGCACCATTGTGGTATTTTTATTTTTCATATTTGTATTTATATATATTATAGTAAGTAACCCTTTGGTTTTTGTAACATGTATTTTGATAGTTCCATTTCAAACCACAATTCACCATAATGATTATTATTTTTCATCCTGTGTGTTTAAAATGTTATTTAGTGAGACCACAAACCAAAGTCCATCCTGGTTTTAAGAGAGGAAAAGAAACCTGTTCAGTCATTTGGTCAGACTTTATGTCTTTCCATTCAGAACACTGAGAAATGTTACAGACATGGTCTGTGGTAGCAAGAACTATACAGTGACGCAAATCCAAACCTACGATTCAGACAATTTTTTGTGTTTGACACACTATTCCAGGTAGCTCAGAATAAGCTATTTCATGCAAAACCTTTTTGGTAAACTACTTGTTTTTGTTAAATCATGCTTAGATACACATCACATAATGGTATTTAGACTAAAAAAGGAATGTACCCTTCATGAGATGACACCAAGGCTCTACAATTAACTATATTAAAGCTTACTTTATGTAAGTGGCAAACAAAGGAATTTAAACACCTCCAACACGGAATTAACAAAACCATCATTGCAATAACTGTTAAAAAGGTGGGACATATCAGGGTGAATGCCAGTCAGTACTATAACCCAACAGATAGCGGGTTTCTGAGGCCGAGGTCCAGTGTGTAGGATTTAGTGGCATCTAGCGGTATAGTGGCATATTGCAACTCACTCGCTTCACCCTCCCTTTTTACGAGTGTGAAGCAGAAACTACGGTGGCTGTGAAACATGCAAAAAAGGACCTATGTAGTGCCAGTGTTTGTCCATTGTGGGCTACTATATAAACACAAGGGTCCCCATAGATGCAACCTGTGTCATCTGTAGTTGAAAATGGCTCATTCTAAGTTAACGATTCTTATTTTCAGGTGACTATACACAAATTAGAACATACCTATGAATATTATTTTTCATTTCTGCCAATAGATCCTCTTTAATGTTACATAAGCTAATATCAGCCCAGACAATTTATCGGTCTGGCTCTAATTAGAGTTATTTGTTAGCTATAAAAGATATTCAGCTATCTTTTATGTGTGAGTTAAGAAAGCAGCATGAGACATTTGTATCCACTTTACAGACACTTTAATAGAAAACAAGTTCATTATTATTATTAATATTTCAAAGAGAGCAGCCAAAAAAAAGACTATATTTTTCAGACAGAAAAACTGCAAATTTCATGACAAAGAGGATTAGCAGTCACACGTTTGAACCAATAAATAAGGATATGATCGACATGTACAGTATTTTGGAGATGAAGTCTGGGCACTCGCTTGCAGTCTTACCCACCTTTGTTGCAGTGTTTTCCATTGTAGATTAGTTACTTAAGTCCTACTTTATGATGCATTATTTTGTCTACCCACTGCATAAATCATATCTCAAATGAGGCATTGTTAACACTTCATACCTAATATTTAGTTAATTATTGTACATAATAGCAATGTACTGTGTTTCACTGTTGTTTTTGTCTATATAATCATTTTCCAAACAAATTTATCATAGCAATAACAGCATTGGGCCAGTCATGCAGGTTGGCTTGTCTATTGTGTTTATAAGTGGCATATTGTCTACAGCTGATAATGGTTCAGACTTCAAAGGCTTCCAATTTGGACGTAATGCTATGCTTCTGTACACACCCTGCTCTTAATGTTATTCATGTCCAGATTAGAATCTACAGTGGGGCAACTTGTACAGAGCGTCACTCAGTCTGTCTTAAGTGCTTTTAGCAAATATTCCCCTTTGTCTGAACATTTTAATACGAGTATTATTGTTTCAGGCTGGAAATTCCTACTTCTTAACAGTACAAACTAGCTCAGTCATAAGAAGGATAAAGCATTTTTTAGATTTCATGTACTGCATTATAGGCCTGAAATTACATCATTCATGCACAAGACACTAGGCATTTTAGCTCATGTATTTTTTCTGTTAGTTCTAGCCTAAATGTTTAATTTTGGGGGTTTCTACATGACTTAAATCCTCTAACCATTGTATAAGCAGCAGCTAAAAATATTCATTTTCTGTGTTTTTCTATGACACACCAAAACTCCTGTTAATGTTAACTGCAAGGTGTGATTCAGTCATGTTCTCCCCGTTGAAATTGTAAAGTCACAAACCTGAGTGAGTGAATACAGTTGTTCCACAGTGTGTATTGACATACTATCTGTTTTTCAAACTGCTGTCTGGAGCTGTTTCTGTGCTCAGTTGCAATGTCCGTGTGTACCTGCCAGTGAAAACTGACATAATGTCAATGTGTGTGGGAGCGTGTGTGTGTGTGTGTGAGAGAGAGAGAGAGAAAGAGAGAGAGAGCATGTGTAGCATAACATAATATTAGTTTAGAAACCATGGTGGTGGGGTTTGGAGGAGTGTTTATTAGGTTTTGCTTGGCACATCACCGTATATTTAAGTAGTTCCATCAACCATAACACACACAGTTGTTGGACTATGGAGATGTAGTCACAGTATTCCTTAAACCCACTAAGAGCAGAAAACAGTATTGTATGATATCAGTGATCCCACGAGATAAGCCAGGACTTCTCTCTGAATGTCCTCTAAAGTTTCATATACTGCATAATATGAAATATTATCATATATCTGCCTTGTTGCTGTTATTGCATCATGATTGGTGTTGAACTGTAAAGTTTCTTTCTCATGTGTGGACATTGAGCAGCAGGCTATTGCCTTTGTTGCCAAAAGGAGAAGAAAAAAACTGTTATTAAATGAAAATGTCACTCTCATATACTCCTCATTCTCTCTTTCACTAACACAATCGCTTTCTAACTCCTTCACCCCATCTTTACACCTCTCCACATATGGTCCACATGTTCCACCCTGCAACTGCTCACCAGTTATCTGGGTTTCAGTATTTAATCTTCTTTTATTTGTGTGTTGCTCCTTAGTTGTCAGCGTTCACTGGGGGCTGGTGTGTAATTACTTAAACAAATGAGTGTGTGTAAGTATTGGATTCTGTGTGTGTGTGTTTGCAGATGCTTATGCAGCTGAAGAACCTTGCCCTGGAGGCAGAGACAGAGCTGGAACGGCAGGACGAGGTTCTGGACGTCCTAACCAACTCCACTGACCGATCCACCATGCACATAGAGAAGCACACCTGCCGCATGAAGAGACTGCTGTAGCTCTGACAGTCCAGCAGACACACGTGGCGCAACCAGATTCTTCCTTAGGAATACACTGTAAGCTTCCTCATTGTCCTCACTGGATTGGTACAGTGTGAGAACACACAGCAGTAGGGACTTCAATATACTATAAATGGTTCAGAGGATTTTTGTTGAATTTGATGGGATATTCTTATAATCACATTGGTTCAAGTGTCAGTGATTTTTGGGGAGAGCAGCAATGTTTGCTAAAGATGTTTGTGTGATTATGTCTTTTAAAATGACTCTAAACAATGGTTCTTTCTGTTATGTGTCTTATGTGGGCTCATACATTTTGACATAAGTTTTAATTGTGCAAATATAAATTAGCCATTATTTTGTTTGACTGAGATAATTGAGCCCTCTGAATGTGCATCCTGCAGCATTTAGCAGCTGTGGCTAGCATGGTTAGCACAATCGGTTCAGTGTCCAGGTTCAGTGCCTGGTAGTGGTGCTTACGGCTTGGCTCAGCAGATTCAGTTTGTGGGGGATTACGTCTTTGTCGGTGCACAGATGACTCCTACTGATTGGTCGTGGCACTTGAGTGGGATTTGGGGGAATAGCATGAATCCTCCTGGCATGTCATGCCCTCCCAGTGAAGGAGGCAGGTGGCAGACAGCAATGACAACCACTACAGTGAATGGCAAAATGGACATTTAAAATGCGACAAAGAAAATAACTAGTCTATTTATTCACGCTGTTCATCTAAAACAAACTGCATGTTTTTATTGGTTTTATTTGCAAGACTGATTTGGTGAAATAACAGAATCTGTAAGAATAAGGGATAACCCTGGTTTCCTCTTGTTTATGTAAGTTGGATGAGAGATTTTATGTTTCTTTTCCCAGGACGGCAAAGTCATGACCCGCCCTACACTGCCTCTGATTGGCTTACCCTGACATTTTTACCCTAACCCTAACCTATCTCACTCTTATGCCTAAACCATAACAACCAAACTAATGAGTACTGCAGTCATAGGCAGAGAAGGGGTCATGACTTAGCCACCCTCGGAAAAATAGTTTTGCACTGGGTGAACAGGTTTTCCACTAACAGTAATAGACTGACAGAAGATGACAGATGTGTTTCAGTGTCATCCCAGTAATATCCATGTTTTTGATGATGTACTGCCAATCTTCCTTTTTATAATTGTCTCTGTCCTGATGACTTGTCTCTCTCTGCCAAGGTGTCACTTATCCTCTTTACACGGTTTCCCTGTAGCTTAATGTTGCATGTCTCAATATTACTGCTTTGTATTGCATCAAGTGCCCCATCAATATCAATATACTATATGGCAGAAGACTGTAAATGTGCAACTAAGTTCTGAGACTTGAAAACAATATAGAAAGCACCCTCTCTTTGTTTTTAAATGATATAATACTCCAAGGTCCACATATACTGTATATGTCTTGCCTAAGACTGGTAGTATTCTAAATCTGTATAATCTGTAAATAACTGACACATGTATTGTAATTCTGTGATATTATTGTGGTTTGCTATCATTGTGAACATGCAATTGACTGTCAGTTTAACTTAAAATATCTTTATCATGTGTTTAAAATGATGATTTCAGTCCTGTATACATGCTTCTTTTTGCTGATGATATCACATTTACCTTGACTGAATACTGGAAACTAGACAGTTAGCTCTAAATATAAATGGAAAAGTGCACCTGCATCTTTCATAGCAAACAAATGAATGAATAAAGCAACACTTTATTGTAAGCATTGGAATGAATTTCAGCTTGCAAGTCATCTTTGAATGCATATTATTTGCAATAAAATACAACAAAAATCTCAAATATTACTGATAAAGCTGAGATCAGTAGTTTGTTCATTCAGATACTTTTGTTGGTTTAAATCTGCTATAATCAAATTTATTTTATATTAACAATGGGTCAAGTAATGAATGTGTATGTGAATTGTATCAGTCGCAACGACAAACCCACAGTTCTGACCAGACATCAGTTCCCCTCCGGTCTGCAGAACGGTTTAGCGTCTTTGAGCTCATTGTTTTGGTGCACTCCACGCTCTCATCAGCATTTCAATCTGCAGCAGTTTATGAATCCACTAGCTTCTGAGCGCCAAACATCAGACAGATAAAGTTACTGACTACCTGGTGAACACAGTGGGGTATTTAGCAGCTAAAGAGACAGATATTTCCATACAGGAGTTGGTGGAGAGCAAAACAGAACTTGGGGAAGAGGGCAAATATTGAACTCCATTTGAATTGTAGCTCAAAACTAATGATGCTGAATGACAGATTTTCAGCAGCATTTCAGAAGAAAGTTTATAACCATTTCTTTCCTAAAATACACATTGTAAAGAGTATATTTATCCCCTGAACCTAAGGGCTAAGCATTAAACATCAATGGGCCTCAGTCTGAGTCAAGCGTTTGCAGCATTCCTATTAAATGTTTCCATAATTACGAACTACAAAAACAATTCAACGAAACAGCCTTTGTTCTACAAGATATCGTAAAATTGGTGCTGTTTTCACCCTCAGTTTCTCTTCTCTCTTTATATTTACACAGCACATGGAGCTCACTAGTGGAGATTTTCTAGCCTTTGCAAACAATGAAATATGGGTTTTTATCACCGTTTAACACCAGTTCGAGATGAGTGCCTTGGAAAAAATTTTAAAGGCCAGATGAAGGTTTTGAACAACCAATTGACTGAAATCGGCAGAACACTTGAGAATAGTATCCTGGCATAAAAAGACCATTAAATCCAAAGAAACAACATAATTTATTAACTGGAAAGCAAATTAGGTTTAGTTAGTTTGGAAGAACTCAGGCAGTGAAATGAGCGTCCTGAATTCCAACCAGTCTTTATTTCTTAACAAAAAGTCAACAGGCAACGCCCCTCATAGTTGGCTCCCATGTGACAAATTGCAACAGAGAATATCTAAACATGTGCAAACTAGAAACGGATGTTAATTACTGTTTCAGCTGCTGTGCATGGTATTGTGTGCAAGTGGCTCACTTTATACCCTCTACTATTATAACATCCTGTTGGCACCAAGACTGTTGGCATCAGCTGACCACCCCTGCTGGGCCCAGAAGGGGGGACTACTTCATGTCAACACTGGACCAGATTTAATTTGGCAAGCGGTTGATCGCTCAATTATGAATCAGGAAGACGCCTTGCACAAAGGGGTTCGAAAGAAGACCGACAGCCTCACTCAACAGCCTGGTCCCAGTTAGCATGAACTTGTCACTTCTATTAAACAAAGCCCACCATGAAAGATGTGAGACTGAAAGCACAAGCACATGATAACACTGAAGGGATGCCTAGTTATGACATTATGAAAAGTTCCTCCAGCACGATTGAAAATGTTTTCAGTGTGGACTGTTTATTTTTGTTGATTTGAGTGATAAACAGTGAGATTTTTGAAGTCCTAAACTCCAGAAGCACACCACATGGTTATGTGAATTCCAACCCTTAAAAAAGGTTAGGGAAATAGAGCACACACTGGCGTGGTTTTGAAGCAGCCTTGCAATACGAGGAAGTGGTGGCGGTCTTGTCTGACCACAGATACATGAGATCCGGCTTTGCCTTCCTAACGGATGGTATGGAGACACAAGGGATTTTGCTGGCCTTGACTTCCAAGTCTGTTTACTCGATAGTTCTGCGGCGAGCACTCTCATTCGAGGAGCGTGTCTCCATTGATGGCCAATCAATCAACTCTTGCTGGGAAAAAGCAGCACAAGTTTGTGGGCTTCGAGGGCACATGTGGGTTGCACTACGCTCCAAAATATGAAGCCATGTGACTGCAGTACAAATAGACTGGAGTCATCATCCACAGGAATATGTTTTCAACGTCTATTTGTTACGTGTGAAATCAAAGCACTTCATTCCTATTTCTTGTTATATTTGGCAATGTTTAAATAATGCAATAAATAAAACAATTCCCTTTAAGAGCCACGTGCTTTTATTTATAGAATGTATTTTAGCACGGTATCTGTAATCAGTTACACTTACAAATTCATGAGTAATTGTTGATGTTGAGCAGACGTAAGATATGTCAACAAAATAAAAGAGAAATTTCACTTCCAGGGCACTATTAGACTCTCAGTCTAATGGCCGGATGTTTGACTCATGTCCTGGCCGGCCTCTTACTAGTGCAGGTGTTGCTGGGTTTCCTTTTGCTGAGGGAGTTTCTGGTTTCAGGAAATAAGGCCTGTTGGTTAATGTTAGAACTGGGAGAAAACGTTGCTGGAAGGAAGGTGCTTAAGTCCAACCAGGGGGTGTACTATATGTAGTCTACAGCAGAAAGTGATATGACACAAAAGATCAACATCATCTTCTTGTCTCTGGCTATCAGCATGGTAACATTTTCTCTTGTGTTTTAGATGGACATTATTCTAAAGAAACAAGTTAACCTTTGGACTTACATTTTACTTTATTTTTTGTGACTACACATTCTTCACACTTGCATTGTGTGGATTCAGATCCTTCTTTGGTTTAGTCGTACCATAAATGTGCTCTGCATGGCTGTTAATATGGTACTTTCCCAGATGCTGAGCTGCATGATGATATCATGTGCTCTTGCGCTTATTGTTATGTTTTCCTTGGTCTTTGAGGCGCACTTTGGTTTTCTGGCTTGTGTTTCACAAACTTTTCTCATTTCTGTGCGACAGAGTTAACAGCTAGGCAGCCAAACCAAACTTGGCTGTGGTTTTATACAGTAGTATCAATCTCAAATCAACTCCAGGTGAAATCCCACATTGCAGCCTACCTGAACTCTGCTGAAGTGCTTGCCTTTCCAGCATATACACACTGAATTACTTGCTACTTGCTAATTACTTGCTAATTTAATTTCAATAATTTTATATGTGTTAGTGTAAGGAACGGTTCATAAAAATAGATCGTAATCATGTTAACATTGCACTACATAGGGTGTTTGTAACGAGTCACATCTCTTGTCCTGTAACGATACCCTATCACCCCTTCCCACCAAAACAAAGGGTTAACTTGTTTAACTTAACTGGCCACGAGGTGTTGCTCACTGGATTCAGTAGAGGGCAACAGTGAGTTGCTGATGGTGAATTTCAATTCATTAATTACAAAAATTCATGCAATATGACCTTTACACTTTGTGTGAGGACAGTATTGTATTTACATTGTGTGGGGTCAGGTGGGATACTGTACTATAGATACTTGCCATTGTCTCTATGTATATTTATAGGGCTATGATCCAAAACGTGAAATAAATCAACATATTTTCTTTACTTCCTCCTTTTCATTGGACTCAGGGTCATATATTTGATCCTAGTAGTTAGAATTAATGGCTGCTCTGCATTTTAATCTTGTGTATAAGCACAGTAACAGTAACCAGCAACAGAAAGTTCTTTGCAGGTCTTTGTTTATTTTCCTTGGGAGCCCTTTTTTTAAAAATGCATCCCTCTTCTCTGCATAAGGTGAATACGAACACAACAGTCAAAAGTTGCAACTTTGGCACATGTGAGGAGTCCTTTTTGTAATGACTGGATTATGTATTCATTAAAACCCCATCTATACAGCTCTGCAAACAGGTTGTCAGGCCCTGAGCCAGCTCACACTGCATCAGTTTTACAAGCGGGCCCCCCAGAAACCTTTAGCAAGTCTGTTTTTAGTGGCTCTTACTGCAAATGGAAACACTTAGCTCCCACAATAAATTAGCCACCCGACTGATGCCACACTGCACAGACCCCCAGCTGGTCGCAAACAGACTATGGATTTATATTTTAACATTAAAGTCTCTTGGAATCTGCTATGTTATAGTGACTTTGGATCACATGAGCTGACAAGAGAACAGGAAAAAAATTAATCACGCGAAGGCTGTTGCACCAGCGTCCAGCCTGCAGGGCCGGCGGTTTGATTAAAGTTAAGGATGTGCCCCCACCTCCCACCCCCTCACCTCAGTGGGGTTGACACTGGGGTCATTTCAGGATAAAAATAGACTTTCTTGGTTACTTATTTTCCCTGGAAAGTAAATAGCCATTAGTGCAGCAGGCCAGTGATCTCAAGGGCAACACTAGTGTTCGGTCTGAACTATTGTTTATACTGTGGACGGATAATTAAAAGAGACAACAGGGTATAGCAGGCCCTGCTGTTAAGTAGAGCGTCCCTAGCAAAAACAGTAATGATGGTGCTCCTGTGAACGCAGTCCAGTGGGGTCAAGTTCAGACACTGTGAAAACATACTTAAAAGCACTTGACTTAAACGTCTGTATTAAATGTCGAGGTGTGTTAGGAAATAAGAGCAGTGTCTAGGATCCTTGCTAAGATTGCCTGTGAAATAATCCTAATTATCATTCCAGCAAACTAATGTGTTTGACCACCTCGTGACGTAATTGCAGCTGACCAAATAAATTGTTGTTGAAATATTGCCCTGCTGTTATAGCTACGTTGTGACAGCGTTGTGTGTTCACTGAGGGCCGGCGCAACCATAACAAACACAGCTGAATCTGGGGTTTACATTTCAGCAGGATGACGGCGCACGCAGCGTCTGGGTGGAACTTGGGAAAAGGAGCCTGGGCCAGCAGCCTCGTCTGGCTCTCTGCCAGCATGGTAAGAACAGCCTTGACAGTGGGACCTGTGAAGTCATTGTCCAGATGCACTAGTTCGTGAAACGTAAATGAATGAATGGATGGCATTGGTTATATCTTTGCCTCAACGGAAGGCAAAGAGCATGTTTGACAAAGTAGGTAAAGCCACGCCAGGACATTAGATTGGGCATGTGATGAGGGTGTGGACCATCAACTTCAGGTTGGAATCATTGTGATGTGTTCTTTGAAGAACCTTCCAAAAGGAAGCAGCCAGCCTAATACC